TATAGAACAAAGATACCTTTTAAAATAACTGTTAACTTTTACTTTTAAAACTTATACTTCAAAATGAATGGCGTTAATTAAGATAATTCTACCAATATGCGTCTTGTTGATAAAAGATATCAACAGTACCAATTTTTACAGATGTTGTTACATATTTGGTAGTCTTTACTGCAATTCATTATGTATAGCGCATTCAATATTGTTAAACAAAATGGTGTTTCTTGTTTGTTTTTAAATCGTTATAGGTGAAGTAACCTGCCGCATAAGTATTTTTTTGAGTTGTAGCGAAGGATTTCGTGGACTCAACTTGTATTTGAACCACGAATAACAATACAAACTGAAGGAGATAGCACCAAAAGGACATGCAAATCTCATAAGTAAAAAAGAAAAACTGACAGCACCGTGGCAAAAAAAAAAGAAGGAAAAAAAAGACAAACAAAGACGAAGTCCTTAAATACTACATTGAAAACTGAAGACTGATCAACTGGAACCCCACCAAAAACCGGTGGTTAATTTAGATGCATCGGAAGAGTAAGCTTATCCTGCTTTATATGTGACACCCGTTGTGTTGCTCATGAAAGTAAGTACAAATCTGGGGATGAATCTCATTTGGTGATGTCACAATCGAGCAAAAAGGACGGACTTGTAGTAAAGACTGTTGATTTCAATGTAGTATGATCAATTGATAGGACAAATAGACAGACAAAGACTTAAAAAACATGATTTCATGAATCAAAGTACATTGTCTTACCTGTTTGTTTTCTTCAATTATTTATGTCGGTGTTTGTGTTCATAACCTGTACACAATATTTAGTTCACCTAGAAGATATTATAAATATAATAGCAGTCCAGCAAGTTGGTCCTATTGTTTACATACAAGATATGAACAGTTCTGCAACATGACCAGTCTTCAGATTTGTTTACTAATCTTTTGGACAGATGTCTAATTCTACTGAACAAGATCTACACAGTGTAATATACACTTAACGTTTTGGTAGTTCAACAAGTGACATGGTATTTTATTCTTTGATAAGAAAATAACGACAAAGTGCGTGTTGCTACCGATCAGAAAACTACACTTATAACACTTTCAATCAGCCTATTCGAAGTGGTCCTTCTCACAAGATCTGATTACTTACTCGTGGATCATGCCATATCTCAGATGAATTATGAACAGGTTTGACCAGTACAGTCAAGGTCCTCTACGGCTTTGTTTTAAAGCTTGTCTTGTCAGAATACAAAGTTCAGGACAGGTTTTGACAAAATTAACCTCGTTTAAATTTATTTCAGTAGCAAACCATTCATAAGCTCAACTTTTTCAGCAATCATTAAAAGTCATTTGGCCAAGATTGCTTATCAAATTACTGTTAATTTGGAGCAGTAACACATCCAATCATAAGTTAACTTCGATCAGTCAAAATGTCTGTTCATCCTGTTAACTAGTTTAAAATTTTCTACACTTTCTTTGCATAATACAATCAGATTTTCTTCCAGAAAGAGACCTTCGTTGAGTGTTCTGCGTATATCCGCAGGGTAATATTTTATTTTGTGTTCTTGCTTTATTAATTTCTTAACTTTCAGATATATTTATTTTTGTAGTAAGTTTGGAAAAAAATATGGCAGCAATTAGAGCTTGTTTAGTCCTAGGTATAGGTATAGTGCTTACTATGTCAGCCCCAGACAGGAAATGTGATGATTTACCAAGTGAATGCTGCTACGTACAGGAAGGTTTGGTTATTAAAGACTTGAGAGAAAAGAGCTGTAAATTACACACGGAACATCAAGGTATATTCATTTCAGATGCAAATCAAATTGGCATAGCTATAGTCTTATCTAGCTCACATAGTTCATTCTACTTTAAAAGGACGACGACGCATATAGTACTTTCCAACTGCCCATGCACTACTTAATTACGGCAGAATTACTTCTTGCGACTTGCATATAAAATAATTATATTTATTAATTTGACTTTTATCAAAATTAGTTTGAGCTTCGTTTATGCTTATGCTGGCTTCTAATATGTAATAAAACATAACGATATAAAGCGCTTAATTAATTAATTAGCTTGTATCTATACAAACAAAATGCAGCATTCCAAAACAAGATTTGTAATCAAAAGAAACCCGACTTGTGTGCGCAATTCCAAAACCATTCTTGTACACCAAAAGAAGTAAGGGCCTTTCAGGCTGAAGTAATTCAACTACAGTGACCACTATCCTACCACCTCTAATGTTGTGATTTCGAACACAGCTCTTGGTTAAGTGTGTTCTACTTCGATTTTTTAAATTCAAATAGCCAGTTTTCCTGCGATGATCGGTGGTTTCCTCCGGGACTTAGGCTTCCTCATTTAATAATATTGGATTACACAATTTTCTTCTAGATGTTATGTATGATGTAAATGTAACGACAAAGATGTTCCAACTGTGAAATTTCGATCATTAATAAGTAGTTTTCAAGCAACGTTTTAATGATAATTGCGTATTATATATCACTATATTGAAAATGTATCTTATAGCTTGCTTATCGTCATTTCCATGAAATAGTTTTTCTGAAAATAATAAAGGTAGTAAAGCAATGGTTCTTCTGGGAACAGTTATCGGAAACCATCATGGTTTGGTGAACCGTAATTGCCTACATTGTATCTGTTTCTCAGAAAACAAAGTATGGACCGATTACTGATTTCCATCTAGTCAAGTAGACGTTGGTCAGTAAAATATTCATATTTATATTCTTTTTAATCAAATAACCATTTTTACAGGCTTAGTGAAAACCAGATCAAGCAACTGCAATGATCTAAACACGGTAACATTTCATAATAATGGGTGCGAAGCTATGTGCACCTTTCTACCTTGGAACAACTACGGATGTTTAGATACACAACATAGAAATGCTTGGTTATATTGTCGAAATGGTAGCTCAGTTTACGACACCAGTAATGGTGCTTGTGACAAACGTAGAGGAGGTAAGAGTACCTATTGATATAAAAAGTATTCTGATTATTGATCATGTCAAACGCAAGATCTATTTTATCTCTCTCTAGGGACGTTAATATTCTGATATGACGTACTGAAAAGCTGATTTTGATTCCTTATTCTGTCTTAAAGCTGGCCATAATCTGTTCTTGTTTTCACGTATTGTGATTAAAGTCAAACACCAATGTTCATGTCCGTCGAGTCTGTTGAATACATGAACTCCAGTAAGCACGCAAACATAATATACTTGAGCATGTTGAGTATGTTAAAATTTATACGATACAAGTTTACTGTGGAAAGCTTAAATATATGAGACAAAGAAACAAAGTAGACGATGTTAAACGTATTATAAATGTTTGATCAACTGGGAATATAGATACTATATACTATGGACCATTGTTTTAGACTTTCAGTCGTAACCGCCTACTAAAGCAGCTTACAGTACCTCCAAATATGTTGATGGTATGAATACAGATTTTGTTATGAGAGACATATGGAGTTTATGGATAAATTCAAAAGAGAAATAAAAACTATTTTGCTTTCATAAAAACCTGTAGCTATATATATGTAGCATATGCTGGTGATCTAAGATGGCAATTTCTGTAATGCAAAAAGAAAAAAAAATCTACTATGCAACCAGCTGCATTGAATTTGTGGTTCAACGCTATTATTGTCATCATGAACCAATAGTGTAGACAAAGATGACATTGTAATATATAGGTCGCCAGAGTTGACATCTGTATCATTATGCACATACAGTGAACAATTGTATTTCAACAATAAACTATGGTTATAAGCTGTTAACTTGTGTTTCTCTTTTTGTAGATTTGTGTGTTATTGGATAGATCATCGCCAGGACGTAGTTTAATCAATAAAGTTAAACTCTAGGAATTGTTTCCGTTGTAATTGAGTGATGTCTTTACGTTTATTTTAATGACATAACAAGGGATTTGGAGATGTGTATGTTACTAAAAATTAAGGTTGCAATATCACAACAAATGAACTTAAAAACGTAATTGCAGCTAATGATTTAATGGTTAACTGGTGTTAAACCTAGTTTTGAGATATTGGTGCAATTGATCAACTTCATTTTTTATATTTACAAGGTGAATATGTTCGAGTTGTATTGTTCATATAACAATAACCTAATTTTCATGATTCGTTTCCATAGTCTGTTTCTTTTTAAATATTAGGAAAGAAAGCAATATAGTTAACTATATTTGTTGTATGGAATAGTTATAAGATGAATGTTTTCGACTGGCGTTGTTCATATAACAATCAACTAATTTTCACGATTCGTTTCCTTAGTCTGTTTCTTTTCAAATAGTATTAATATAAGCAACAAAAATTATCTTTATTTAGTATATAGAAGTTTTCTACGCTGTAATGATATGTTTTCCGAGATAAAAATGCGGACATAAATAGTGTCATTCGGATACGACATTTAAAATACGGCAAACTTATCATAACTGCTATAAACGTGCTGCAATATATATAACTTATTTTCACCTTAAACTTAAACAACCGTGATAGGTAACACAAGAGAAAATGAAACATTAAAATTAGTAATGCGTACAAAGATATATATATGTTCGACATAATAGCGCTTCGGTTACGTTTAATAAATAATAAGCATAATGTTCCCATTTGATAAGGGACTTTTCGTTTTTGAATTTTCCTTGCAGTTCGGTTTTTGTTTTTTTTACTTTTTGGATATAACCGTTTTGTGTCTGTACTAAGTCATACTATTTAGACACTGTGGTGTTCAATGGTGTTTGTCTTTGTTGATGCGTCTATTGTGTAAGTGCTGTGGGTTGTATTGTCTTACACTTTTGTTTATTCCTCTTACTTTTTGTTTATGCATTAGCAGGTATGAAAACCCAACATCTCCTTTTATTCATATAATATAGTTTTACTCCTTCTATTATGTCTGAATTTTCACCGTTTGTATTATTCCATTATAATATCAGCATATCTTACAGGCAGAACAAATTACCTCGGATTTGAAAATACACGAATAATATCCACTTAAATTTGTAAAGATTTTAATTTTTGACACATTTCTTCCTTTACATGTCATTTTAAAACTGTTGCTTAATGTGCTTTACCATAATTCTAAACAATAAAACATTATCAAAACATATGGTGTAAATAAATCAAACTCTTAAAAATAACATTTTAGAATATAAAACAACATCACACGGAGGTTAGCAATATACAGTTAAATCAAGATATTCACATATAAAAATGATTGTGTGTATCAACAGAACTACCCGGACCTTTAACATATGAAACTAAACTTTTTATCACCACGACGGTGACAATTCCAGATAATACCAAGCCTCCTGATACAAAAATTAGACTAAGCACATAGCCTGTATTGTCAGCTTCTACAACAAAAATAATTTAGTGTTTAACGAGGGGAAAAATTAAATATCAATTAAACAAAAAATACATATCCATAAACTTGTGCCAACAAAATCGTGTTTTAAAAGTATTTCATCATGCTTATGTTGTTTTTTTTGAGGGGGGGGGGGTGGGGGGGGGGAACAAAAGTATTAATTATATCAATTACCTATTACTTTTACTTTTCGTCCTATACATACATATTGTAAATACTTGATGTCATTTCCTCTTTCCTCATTCATTATGTAAGAAGATAAAGTTTTAAAAACAACCAATGTATAATTCTGGTTCAAATAAGAATTGCCAAAAACGTAACATAGTATAAAGAAACAAAATTATTTGAATTACATAATTGAGTCCTACATAACTTTTACTATACTTAATTTGACACAACTTATATATGCTTTTTAATGTTAAAGTTTTTATAAATGCCATTTGTCAGGTAAACGGGAAACTATCCAATATGAATCAGGCTCCATCGGCTGTTACAAATACATTATGCATCTAACAATAACTTTACGGATCAGTATGAAATATGTTTACATTATATCCCAAAGTCCTCAAACACATCGATGTAAAAAGAACGTATTTGATCCCTTAATGTAACTCTAAATACAAAAGGACTCATACGATTGATGAATAAGTTAAGATTAACGTTTATGACTTGTTTCAAATAAATTATTCTAATATGACGTTCTTCTTTCGATTTGGAAACAAAGCCATGTTCTAATTCCAATAAAACATAGGCTGCACGTGAATGCGTCACAATTGAAATTGCAACGTCAGAAATCAAAATGGACATTTGTTTTGGTGTTGCTCGCTAGGAAATAAAATAAAATCATTCTAAAAGTAAGTTTACATGTATCTGTTCATTTGTTTATCGTGAAACGATTGATTTTCTATAACGCTTTTGCTTCCTCAATTCAAAATGGATGCCTTTAAACGCGTATTATAGGTCCACTTCGAAGTACAAAAGTTTAAAATTTTCCTATTAGAATCGAAATAATTCTAACATGCCATGCTCTATGCTAATTTTAACATGGGTAGGCATTATATTTGTCAACATTTAACACCTCGCAAACGCTCGGTATATAGATATTGACAAATATAATGCCTACCCATGTTAAAATGAGCATAGAAAATGGCACGAAAGAATTATTTCTTAAATATATATACTAGTGTTAAAGTTGCATTATTCCCATCATAGGTAAACTTTGCTCATATATACAGGTAAACACTGTATTTCTATTATGTTTTTTAACGATTTTGGTACAACTCTTGCATAATAGGCCTGATTGTGATAATCGACGTATTCATTTGTGAAAAGTGTCACTGAGAACTGGTATTTGTCCTTTTCGTCTTTTTTTTATACCAACAAAACTCAAATGGATTCAAAACAGCGTGTTTTGGCTCTATTTACCAGTAATTGTCTTCAACTGTTTTTGACGATAATCATTGTTTTACCTGTGTCACAAAGATCCCCAGTATGCGTTAAAGGACATGTACATTTGTAATCGAACACACCATCTATACAGGTACCTCCATTGCGACATGGAAGATCCACATACTGACAGAAATCAATAGCTGAAAGGTAAACCAAATATGTCATTATTTCTCCCTCGACTGAGGAATCCATAAATACAGAGCTAAACATGTAGCGTGTCCTGTAACTGTCATACTCAAAATGAGTAAAAGTTGTATATCTTAACATCATGCTTATGTATATTACGTTTTAACAGAACTCGGAAATTATCGTAGAAGGAATTGAAAAAATCGGAAAATTTGGAAAAAAATAAACATGCAATTTTATGATACCTGTTTTTGTTTCTAATCAAAAAGGAAATCAACCTGTTGATTGGAAGTAAAAATCATAAATAAGTAGTTTCGTCAACATTCGAGGAAATAAAGACAGGAATGTAGAATATAACCGCGATCATTTGGGACACATAAATTCAATAACGATCAACCAAATTTTGATTGCATCCAACAAATTTTGCAAGGAAATCACTTTTCCATAATGAAAACTTGATTGATAGCTTTTTTTTTTAAGCACCAGGTTGAACGCTTTATTAAAGTAGATATATACACTATATGCGAGGCTGCTAAAATGGTGGTAAATAGATATTAAAAGGTCAACATTAAAAGCTTATATGCATTCTTTTGTCTTTAATTTAAGTTCCGACCCTTATTGTCAATTTAAAGATGTAAGTCAATATTTTAAGCCGTCTTAAATACAGTTTTTGAATTGGCTGTCAGTCATTTTCGTTTCCGAATGTTAACTCAAGTACCTTACTTCCGATTGTAATGTGACATGAAAATATGGTCAAATATAATATGAACGAGACCCCAATTAGTTTTTTGGTACGAGACAGTTACAGGGGAAGTAATGACGTTGCTAACGTAAAATGTTATTTTTCACGACGTCAAACTGCGACATATCGGGAAATACATTTTTCGAGTAATTTTATTCATTAGCTTGAAAACGACTTCATGGACCCCTCTTTTTTAAAATGGTATTTGACTTGATACTGTATGAAGATTATTTATTCTAATTTTTATGAAGAAATTACCGATGATTTTTTAAAAATTAGATGAATATAGCAAAAAATGCAGGTTTTTGTCTAAAATCTTGAAAATTTAATAAAAATGAATTATTTCCAAAGAATAACTACACAATTTTAGAGTATACTTTTGTAAAGAAGATATTCCAAATCGTTTCACAAAAATCCGCATGTGTTTAACTTTTGAAACAAAAAAGTTTAATATGTCTATCCAAAAGATAGAAATGTCCAAGAAACCTTCGACCCTATTTATCTCTAAATTTAGTACTTGAAGGTATATTTTTTATTACATTTTTAAATTGACCAGGTGAAAATAAGCTTGTATACAAATTTTCGTAAAAAAATCAACGTGGGATCAAAACTGTATCGTATGCCCTTAATATACTGAAAGTTATGCATTAAAGTGGTTTCTAGATGCTACGTCAAAAACGGCGTACTAAACCTTATCAAAGGTGGTATATAATAAAAATAGAGAGACTAGATATAACACTGAATAAGTAAACATTAAATAACAAAAATACATTACAAATTGTATCAACAGGTCAAATTACGAAAGTACGATTTGAGAGTACTCGCAGTTACTGAAAGCTAGTAAAAAGCCAAAAACCATTAATAATAAAAAATCATGCATCAGAGACTAAAATCAAATAAAACACATCCCATGGACAGTCAAAGAAGACATGACTTGTGCAATGCCAAAATAAAAGTTTCGACACGCAGTAGGATAGTTAGGAGTTAACCTGTTAATAAATATGTATAATGTAATATATAGATAGAGTAATCTCTATATAGAAAATGAACTTGGATGTGTATTTATACATCCCCCCCCCCCAAAAAAAAAAAAAAAAAACGTTTAAAGGATACAAATTTAGTTATGTTTTAATTTGCTGATGACAAAATCGATATTCGTGCCAATGTAAACTATATTCAAAGATCCAATTACAACATTGGTAAGATAACCTTTACCAATAAGTTTGTTATATAGGATCACATATAATAAGAGGAATATCATTTTCGATATATGCATGCTCTCTGTCCAAGAATAAGTTCATAGAAATTTACTATAATTTGTACCGAAAAGGTGGTTACTAAATGCTTAACCAAATACTACGTATGCAATACAATATGTCTTGGATATATGGCAACCTATTACGAGAGGAAGATCCCAATTAATTTCGAGATCACTTTGTCCAAAGTCAAATTTACAAATATGTGCAGAAAATTGGTTTCAGGATACTAAATTATTAATAAAACACTAATATGCCATATCACCCTTACTTGGATATATGATCAAATTAATAAGGTACATCTCTGTTGATTTTGAAGTCATTTAGTCTAAACGCAGATATATGTTAGAAAATATTATTGTTTAAAATCAAACTAGAAATTTATTATACCTAAAAGTAGAAAAAGACTGTAGTTAGGTCACTATAAGTTTTTCCTCTTAACCATGTTAATATGGGGAGGGGTTATATGAGCGTTTTGTTTTTATGTTCAATGGGATATAGATTCGTTCAACATGTTTATTACCTCAAAAACAAAACAATGGACTACACTATGGTCAAACGTTAGAGTAAACAAAAATCGAGCAGTGCATCAATGTACGACTTCGTCGACTAATGGACACACTGATATTTGTGAAAACCGCTCCTTTTACGATTGCAGAAACAGACGTAGAAACATTTAAGACATGCAATTCTTCATTCATACTATCAGACGTTGTCCAAATAGACTGTATATTAAAACAAGTTTTGATTGATGAAGTAACACAATGTTACATTGTCCTTTTCATAATCATTTAATTAAGATTTATTAAACCAAAGAAAGATATGATTATACATATTTGGTTCATATGAATCGCTTTGATATTCTAGTTCTTATCTTTGCAGTATGTTTATGTTTTTTAAAAATGACTTTCAATAAATACTTTTTCACTCTTAAGTTCATATCACTTTGGAATATGCGATTAAAAACGGGCTTATTAACATAAACCACACACATATAAATATATATGCGTGCAAATGTAATCAGCCATTGTCTCAAAACTTTTTAAAGTAAGCTTTTAATGAGTTTTTGTTGAAATAAGCAATGCAATATTGTCACAACGATAAACACTTATTAACTATTGAAGAAAACGGATCAAACGTGGGGACACACATCTTCATTCCCAACATTCCGTTGATATTTTCAGGTGTTGTCTGCACATTATGATCCTATTAAATTTTCAAAATATCTACAATGATAACAGTTTTTGCCTGTCATATTATATAAAGTAATTAATTAAAACCCAAATTGTTGCTATTCCATCGCAATTTAATGTTTATGTAATAGAAAGCTAAATCATAGCAAATATACATATTAAACCTTATGGGACGACAGAACCCGCCTAAGTTCTTATTCAGTGAACTGAGGGAGTTGCAACCTGAGTTTTATGAAAACTAAAAAATATAAAAATATAAAAATATAAAAACACTTCTCTTTTTTTCAAAATGTAGTTTTTAACTTGATCATAAAGTAAAATCTGGTATATTACCTATACAATATCTTACCTATATAATATCTTACCTGATTCGCAGTGAAAACCGGTATGGGAAGTTGGACAAGTACAGGTATGATTAAACACACCATCAACACATGTTCCGTTATTTTCACATATTGAACCTTCACAGAAGTCAGTATCTAAAATGAACAAACTTCACGACATTAAAATTTCTCCTCTGTGAGTCTGCTTGTCTGAAGTGCTTACAATTAAGAAACAAGTCGGCTAAACAAGTTGATAATTTGAAAGTTACAAAATTAGTTAAAAAAAAAAAAAAAACATGCTTTATGACTATGTCACGAATGCTATTTGACTATGTCACGAATATGATATACTGATTCGTCCTCTATTGTCTTGTATCGTTTGTTAGGTGTAACGTTAAATGCATGTAATCCGCCATTTTGATTACTAAATTATAAATATCAGTAAATAAATCTCTTCGGACAATGTTTATTAAACAGAAATATTATAATCTTCTATCAAAGTCTTGCTTGACATAATACTTTTAAATCAGGTAAAATAATAGTGCTAACGGCAGGCAGTACAAAGTCACAAATGAAAAAAGAGAGAACAGACAAAGAGACAATGGTCGGCAAATGATGAATTAAACAAAACATCAATAAGTAAAAGATTGCTATCTTTGTAGGTTATCTTTGATATTTGGAAATAAAGTTATATAACAGCATACGATACAATTTGAAGGAATCACGAAAAGTTAATGGCATATCTAAGCTTTGTGTAATAATTTTATAATGAAACTGAATTAAGAATGAGACTATAAAACAAAATCGGCCGGGAGTATCATTTTTTTCCAACATATTTCATTAATCAATGAGGAAAAACACAAAAACATTTCTAATATGAATAACAACTGTTTCAAAAACACCATTAATAACATGTGCCCCTGACTAAACGTTTATAAACCAAATACTATAAATAGTTTGAGGGGGTATGAAACATGTCTGCATTATTACGTACATTCAGCTTCATGTGAGGTTTGCCTAAGGGATTTGTGACCTTTGATGAGTTATTTTAGCAAATTTTAAAGTATATACTTTTTGTGACTATAAAGAAAGTATTTTACATAGTAACGAAGTACAAGCTGACGATTTCATGTATCTTCTAAATAACCATACCAGTGTGGGAAGATACATTAGTGCAGGTATAATTTAGCCCAGCATCGACACATGTTCCGTTATTGTCACATTTTACACCATTACAGACGTCAATAGCTAAACAAAAAGAAGATCCCTTAAACATAAATACTAGAAGAAAGTTTATTGTCATATTGATTTTATAGTGCCTTAATTTTTTTCGCACTGTATTATACATTTCAAAGTAAGATTGTTTTAGCATAACAAGAAATAGTCTATACGGACTATCTGAAGAGTTTATAATGTCAACAAATCTGTTTAAGACGTGTGTTATGCTACTAGTATTCATATTATCATAATATTAAAGCCATATGAAACGAGTTTCTGGTGAAAATACTGAATATTGTTAAACCAATGTATGCATACATGTTGTATTTCCTAAACTAAGTCCTAGGAACACGTTTTATTATTTTCATATTTATCACGTATTCATAATGCATAATCGACAAAACTATCTCATTCATTTATTTTTGATCGAAAAATTGCCTGCTAATTAACTTTGGGTTTTTGTGCAAAATTTACTGATTAATACCTTGATAAATCAAATCAGCACGTGAACAATGTGAGATAATAGAGCGATGTTTATATTTGTTTTTTTTTTAAATTGTCCATGCGTTCCATTTAGTTAATCAAACCTCGTCATAACAGATGTTTAATGATTTGTTACATTACATTGTTTATTTCAGAGTAGGATTGAACATATCTTTTTTCACGCTCTTACGTTTCTATGTATGTTAGCGTTTGTTTTTGTTGCGGTTCATTTTTTCTGTTGTTCTGTTGTTTCCATCTTATAATTGATGTGTTCCCTCGGTTTTAGTTTGTAATCCGGATTTGATTTCGTTTAATCGATTGATGACTATTGAACAGCGGTATACTACTGTTGCCTTTATTGGCGGTTTGCGTTTGTCAAATTTTAAAAGAAAGACGTCATTATAACGGTCACAAAATTCGGAAACAATAGGTGATTTGGAGTCGAAGAAGACAGTATCTTCAAAAATAATTGGATACAATAAAGAAAGTGTATGTACACAAGTATTTTAGTTACATAAAGGTAAAAAGTATAAAAAACATATTCAACTTTTTGATAAATTAAAAATAACTTATGACTTTAAATAGTGATACAAGTCTGTAAAGTTATACTAAAATCATAATTAATAACTTGAAATGCTGCATATGATTGTGAAGTATCAAAATGATATTAATTCTATGAAGATACTTTTCCTTAGGATACAACTAAAGACATTACACACAGTACGTTATATTCAAAAGCGGCGAGTTATGAGCAGAATTACTCAATTATTTATGCTGCACATTTTACTTGTAACAAACTTTGACCATAAGAGTTTGTGCATAAACTCCGTCCTTTTTTTAATTTGTTTTATAAAAAAAAAATCAGTATGTGTCACTTTAATTTATCTTATTGTACATGTTGTATATGCACTTGTTCTGACCAATACAATCTTACATTAACTCAAGATGCGTACTGTCCTTTTACTCTTTTTCTTTTTGATGCTGCTCCTTCTTATTATGTTTTTTTTTCGATATACGAGTTTTCTTATTAGCCCAATTATAGCTTCTATCTCTTTTCTCTTATTTATACATTTTTTTACCCTAAATACTCCCGATTTCTACGTAAATTTGTATTTTCAACATCAAATAAGTATATTACCAAGGAAATTTTGTATCGATAATGTGCAAGATATTTTTAAAATTACAAAAATTATTTCAAATTTCCTTAGTTTTACATATACCGGACGATTTACGTTATAGATAATGCATATTCTATGGTTTTTCTTGAAGTATAACACACCAAGGGGTGTCAGGATTGGTCAAATGAAAGACCGACCGTCGTGAGGTCTTTCTTTTGGCAATCCTGACACCCCTCGGTGTATTATACTTCAAGAAAAACCTTAAAATATGCATTATCTGACTTATATAACGTCTACAAGTATTATTTTCTGCAAAGATTAACAGTATTTTCATCCTATTTTACCGACCACACTAAAGAGGGATATTCTTTTCTGATGTTTTCAGGTTTTAATACGCCCAACGGCTCATTTATAATGTATAATAAAACTCACTAATTCAACACGATATATTAACTTTAAAAATCATTATCCAGTTTCAATAGAAATACTGTAACTGCATGAAGCAAGACACAAATGAATTGTTACGGTGTATGTAAAATACAAGTCACTTTGTGAGTAATTTATTGTATAAACTTTTTTTATGAAAGCCTTGGTTTTTTTTAATTTATTTTCATGACATTTTTTTCGCGGATTTTTTTTTCAACAATTTCTTATAATTGTTTTCTGTTTTTGTTTGGCAATACAACTTTTTTTATATAAAATTCAGAATCAGGATTAAATATTGTATCCCTCCACTTTTAAAAGTACGTGGGTGTTATTCTATAGAAACTAAGATATTGGGTCATTTGATCATTTGATAGAGTAAAAGGTATATAAAGATGTTAAAAAAAAAAATAACTGGCATGAAGAGAACACCAAATCGTAATACATGTACATGTAACACGAAAAACGAATATCCATAGGTCAAAGTATGATTTCCAATACAATGTGAATAAATAAGATTTTCAAAATCCTACACTCGAATGTGTTAAATCTGGCTTGTTTTAAAGTGTTATAAAAAGTGAATTATTAAATTCATCTCACATAATGTCCCTTTATTGTAGCGACAAATTAACAAAACTTCACATTATTTGTTTCGAAAGTTAACTTGAATGTGCGTCAACAACAATTGTTGGTATTTCACTCCATTAAACGGAGGAAAGGATCGTTTTGCCTGAATCCTACGGCATATTGAAAATTAAAAAAGTAAACCCCCAATTGGCAACAACACACGGTAGCTTTCAAACGAATTAAATGTTTATGTAAATTTAAGTTTGCATTTTAATCAAGAAAATAATGATCTCATACACGTCATTATTTTATGCCTTGAAGCAAATTTCATTAAACCTTGGTATCGTCCGGGTTGATTCTTCAAAAGAATGACCTATCGTTCTGAAAGAAAATAACCCCATGTAGGTATATAATGTATATTAAATTGTTTGGTGACAGATGGGAATATTATATTTGACCTGTACCTATTTAACAACTTGGCAGCTTTCTCACGGCATTAAAAGTACCTTTGATATTATTAATAAAAACTTGTCACGTAATAACTAATTAAAACAAAAAAAATAGAAAGCCAGTATATATTTGTTTTGGTGTCTCTTCAAACATCACAAATAGGAAAAATGATGTTGTCCTCTTAATATTTTTTGTTTATGACTTGTCATTTTCTCGCTTGCTCATTGACGTATAACCTACAATACCTTTTATTTATACAAGGTATCTTGCTTTTAAGCAGTTAACTACCTGTTTCACAGTTTTTTCCAGTATAAGAATCCGGACATGTGCAAATATATCTGGTTATATCATCAACGCACGCACCACCGTTCTGGCAAGGATTACTAGCACATTCATTTTCATCTAAAATAAAAAGAATTTATTTATATTATATTGTGCATTTATCTATTATATAAAATCATTGATGTTTATATTTTAGTCATATTTATTAATGTTTTGTGTTTTTATTGGACTAAAAATGTTCATTTTTCTCACTTTGTATCTTTTTATCTTTTTCTTTAATAAGTCTGTTAATCACAGAAAAAGACAATCAATATTAATTTTATAAATTGACTTGCTTTATAATCAAAATAAATTGGTTTGTGTGTAAATTTTAAAAAGTAGTACCTGTCGTAATTGATATATCTTATCTTGAACTTACCATCTACTTTAATTGTAACGCATGCTTGGTCAGATGACTGTCTGAAAAAAAAACGGAGTTTTCGTAAAAGTATTAAGTCACTTCATGCTGAAGTCACCTCATGCTGAATGTCCAGATTTTTCCATTCAGTTATGTTTAATTAATGATGAAAGCCGATATTCAACAAAATTTGGATGCAAAGTGTTTTCAATCACAAAGTTCAAAAATGAAGTAATGATAAGAGTAAATAACTTATTTTAAAACAATTTATATTTCATATCTAAAGATTGAACTTTAAATATATTTTTTGAGGAAGAAAAATGCATTTATTTTTTCTTCCTCATTTGAACACACACTTAACCAAAACAGGTATACACGAATACACGGATTGCACTAGAAAGAACGTTCAAACTAGTTTCTTTTTCATTGTAGGTGCACTGTATTTCTTAATTTTCTGATCAGATATCAATCCATCCCATTAAATGAAAATAAAAACAAAATACAAATAGTGTATGGATAGATGTCCTAACTATTTACTCACCCCACGCTGTTCACAGCGGTATAACAAAATATGTGACTTCCTGCTTGAGATTGGGATGGTGTCCATGTCACATTTACGTGCCATTCCGTCCCTGATGATCCATACGGTAACAGTTCCGTCTTAATCATTCCAACTGGAGACACAGTAGCGATTTCTGTAATGCTTGAAACGCAAATAATTTCATTTACAAAATCTTCTATTTGATAACGAGTTATTTTTTTTTATTTGAGTAATCTCTTGTTTGACATCATAAATTGTACAATTCAATGAGAAAGAAAGTTAAACAGCTTTTGTTTTTGCACATTTACGTAATTGTGCAGACAAATAATACGAAAATCATTAATCATCATCTGCAAAATAGACTGCAAAAATATACTATTCCTGGAGCATTTATAGCTGACTATGCGGTATTGGTTTTGCTCATTGTTGAAGGCCTATAGTTGTTAATTTTGGTCTCTTGTTGAGAGTTGTATCATTGGTAATAATGCAACATCTTCTTATTTTCATATTAAAAGATCCATTAAAATTATTTCGTTTATTGTTTGCAGAATAAACATCAGATTCAGGGTAGTTTGTATAAATTCATCAGAGTTATACACTTATGCAGATAACCTGCTTTTGCCTCATGCTTAAAATTAATTATGTTGTCTCTTAGTCGAGGAAGTATCTTCTTCTATGCGAGGCATGAGTTTTTGAGTCTAACATTTAGCAATAGTGCAGAAGCCAGCACTTTTGCGCTAACATGAAATATTATTGATATGCTTATATTGCAAAAATACAGTGCATGTGCTCAATTTACTCAAAGTAGACGGGTTCCATGAATAAATCATTTAAGGTCAATTGAAATATTCTATAGCAAACTTGTGTGTATTCATTATTGCACAACTCAAGGAGGTAAATTTTGCAAAATATAAAATAAAACAAGTTGATTTATATACTTTTTTGTATGACGTATTTCATTGTACCATAAAAATTAATCGAACATTTCTGTTCTAGTTCAATGATCACGGTATTAAATGCAGACATACATGTACACTTCTGAAATCATTTAATCGTCATTGTTTTATTTGCTGTCAAAAAAACATTCTGCGGGATATTATATCAGAATTAAAAAAACTCATCTTTATTAACTTTAGCAGATATTTGTAATTATATTACACGTACTTTACACTTGTAGAACCACTATTAGCAATAATAGTCTGGAAAAATGTTGCATTAAGTGTTAATGAAGCTACTGAATCATTTACATTTGTAAGATTCAGTACAAGAGGTTTATCGTCGCATGTGTCAGTTGTAGAAGCTACTTCGATTAAAAACTGAAGTGGCACACTGCTTAAAGGTGTTGTAATGTCGGACACGGCATAATCTTCAATCTGTAAAGCCGCTGCATACCATCCAGTATTCCCCGAAGCAGTGTAAGATAATAAACATGCGGTCTGAAAACGAACAAAACCATTAAAACTTTGTATGGAACAATACTATTAGTGTATAACATACAGGATATCTGAAACAACACATTGTTGAGTAACAAAAGGAGATTCACATACTTTACTCTGTTAGTGCTTCACACAAGTGTTGAGTGGCTTAAATGTTATCTAAAGCAGCGTTAACGTGTATAAATGGAAAAATAATCGTATTTAAATTAAATTTCTTCTTCGAATTACAATATTATAATAATAGATTACAAAAAATTTCAACTTGCCTCGTCTAGTTCTGCTCCTGGCAGAGCTTCGCAGACGGCATAACATTCTGTATTATTAGCCCAGCGACATTTAACGATGTCTCCGTCATCGTCTTGCACTTGGAAAAACAGTAAGATAATTAATCGTTCTTACTGTGGATTCATTTATTTACGTGGCTACCAATTTTCGTTGATTAAGGAAAACTTACATGTTCGTGGATATTGAATTTCGAGGTTTTGCCGAAGTCTGCATACATTTATTTTTAGAAAATTTGTCATTCGACAAACATTTAATTTCGTGGTTCACCTGTATCCATGAAAATTGGGTATCCAACGAATAATAATGAATCCACAATATATATTATTTAAGAAATAATTTATGGAAGCCATAGATTTGTTGGAAATTTACACATGGCCTGGGCCGTGATATTCGAATTTTATCCTGAACGATAGCGAGGGATATAGTTAACGAATATCACGCCCAAGGCCATGTGTAAATATCAAACAAATCTATGGCTTCCATGAATTATTTCGATTCTAATAGGACAAATAGCGTAACTTAAAAACTGATCGATGGTGGGTATGCCGTGTGTGTGGTCGTTCTTTTTTACACCCTGTTATATAAAACTAAAATGTCCAATAAATCTATAGCTTGCATGAATTATTTTTTAAATAACCGCTAGAAAAATTATTTAATTCTTTTAATTCTCAACCCTAGCATTTGCCATTTTTGATTTTTTCTCGTAAGCAACCGTCGAATCCACAGTTGATAACTCGTAACTAAGGACCCGCAATGTTAACTTTTTTCATGTTTGATGTTGTACGTTTTTCCGAGCTCTAATGCATTAATTCTTTTTGTTATGCATCAGAATAAGAACAAAGGTTCTGTATTTTTTTTAAATTGCAATTTTTAACACAGCGAATTCGGCGAAGCGTTTGCACATTGGTAACGATACATGTGGATTTACGTGGGAGGTAAATTGTAACAGCCATTTTAATGTATATCTCTGAGCTTGCGCTAAGTATAGATATATCGAGAATTTCATCACGGTGTTGTTTACAAGGCGAAAGAGCACGTTATATTAGAATTCGTATTATTTCTTGAAATAACGCACATTTAATCTCGAATACCTGATAGATATAAAAGTAGCTTTTCAGACATGCAGACAATTCAGTATGTGTTTTGTTTTAGTTTAAGCATAAATTGAACAAATCTCATGAATTTATAATTCGTGATTAGTCTGTTAAGACCAGTTCAGATCAAAATGACTGTAAGGTTTTGAGGACGTGTTTTTCAACAAACAATCGGCATTCCCATGGGTACCAAAAGTGCTCCTCTTCCTGCCGACTTCTTATTTTGTTCAGATAAGGCTGACTTCATACAGGAACTTCTTAGAAAGAAAGAAAAGAAGTTATCCTTAACTTCACTTTCCGTTATGTGGATTATGTTCTCTCACTAAATAATTCAAAATTCGGTGACTATGTCGACAGCATCTATCCTATCGAGCTTGTGAGAAAGGATACAACAGATACAGTAAAGTCTGCCTCATACATTGACTTACATCTAGAAATTGATAATGAGGATCGGTTCAAATCAACACTTTACGACAAAAGAGATGATTTCTGCTTCCCAATTGCGAAATTTCCATTTCTATCTAGCAATATTCCAGAAGCGCCTGCATACAGAGTAAAAATCTCCCAGTTGGTACAATATTCCATGGCCTACATTTCCTATCATGATTTCCTTGATAGAGGGTTGCTGCTCACAGGCAGCCATTAAACCAAGAGTTCAAAGTGGTGAAGTAGAAATCATCCCTTCGTAAGTTTTACGGACGCCATCACGAGTTGGTTGAAGTTATAGAATATCTGTTTCATAGATAACAACGGCTATGTTCCAAATGTCGTAACAACAATCATGTCCCTTTTCCCCAGAATGTGACCTATCGATTTAGACTTATTATCGTGTTTTTACTAACATGAACAAAAAGACAGTGCCACGTGTGGAGACTGATCATACCACCCCAGTTTTTTGCTCAGTCCTTAGTATTCTATGTTGAGGTTTGTTTACTGTTTCTTTGTCTGTCGATCTTTTTGTTTTTAGCGATGGCGTTGTCAGTTTTTTTTTTCGACTTATGAGTTTGAATGTCTCTTGGTATCTTTCGCCTTTCTTTTGCAGTTCAAAATCGTTTAACTAGTGAATTCATTATCAAAGAAAATATCGTTCATACTCATACGATAAAATGTGGAACTCTGAGCAAGAACCAGGATAATGCATATACTTTTTTTTTCTATGTTGAGAAAATGTCTATTTGTCTCTATCTTATAACGAACACACTGAATCAAAATGTTTATCATTTTGATGAACGATGAAATTTTAAGCATGCTTACTTTATTTTTGAACTATTATTTGATATATGAGTAATCAAGATTATATCTAAGCTAATTTGATTATATGTTCAAATTGTAGTAACCACAATACCTTCCCCTTAGCCTCGATTGCGAAATTACCGAAATCGACTAATGTCAAATATCTACCGCAACGAGTAACATGACGGATGTTGCTAGTTGAGCATCAATGTCTTGTCAATACGGGGCAACTGCGTTCACTCCCGTTTTTTGGTAAGGTTTGTGTTACTCAAACTTTAGTTCTTGTGTAAAGTGTTAATATTGATATTTGTGTTTTTGTCTTGCTGTTTCTTTTTAGTCATGTATTGTCACATTCGTGTCTTCTCTCATTTTTCTAGGATTAATTTTTAAATAGTGATGCACGTTTTTAGTGTTTTTATTTCGTAGTAGGATTATGTTTATATTGTTAGCTTTTTAGTTATCGAATATAATATTTATAAATTAATAAAGATTCCCTACATTATTCTAAACGATCCAAGTATTACGAATTGTTCTGGTCTTTGTTCGATAAAATAAGGAAATCATTTAAAGTTGAAATACGGACATGATACCAAAAAGTTATATATATATATATATATATATTATTCGATAGAATGGCATTTTTTTTTCTATTTTTTAATGATGCGGATATGTAATTGACGAACTCGTGTCCACATAATAGAATGGACTTCAATTTCAGGACAAAAAAGGAGAATATTCTGATTTCATTACGAAAGGTCAACGCTTATTGTAAGAATGGCAAACTGACAAAAATGGACGGTGACGGGTTTGGGGATGTATTTTGGTAGTCTGATATTCATTGATTTTCAAATCAGGGATATAAATTGAATAGTAAAAATTACCGGGAATTCTTAGTGAATACGAACACCCATATTTAAATCTAACAATTGGTTGCATGACAGAAACAGGAGATGTATTAATTTTTCCAGTGTCCTGTCTTACAGAAAGATCCGCTGTTGCCAGTAATACCCAGCTACCGCTTCCAACCACGAGACTTATCCAACAACAACTGCCGTACCTGAAATAATTGTAAACGTTTTATATAATATGTTTATATTAAAAAAAAATCGCTCTATCAAGCTACAAAACGATGATTAAGTATATATCACATAATTCGTTGGCAGCAGCTTGGTAATCCCACTGTCTCAGTTTAAGGAGGCCACTAATGACCGTGTCGATGTTATTTTTTCTCGACCTTTTCTTCAACTGTTTAAAACATTAAAAAATCATTTGTTGATAGATAACTAATGCATTAGTTAAAAATTGTTACGGGTTAAGGATGTACACCTCTGAGGAGCCATCCATTTATAGAGTTTAACCTTTTTTCAGTACCTGATTTTTGGGTTTATATGAATGTAAGAAAGTTATTGTTTAAGAAAAAATGATATGGTGGTTCACTTCTTTTTTTTTGCTACGGCCGTTTTAAAGTACCCAATTTTAAAGATTTTACCATTTTTCATCATTTTTTACCCATGTTTGGAAAGACAAAATTGATATCGGATGTACATATTTTTGTTAAAATCATTTCTTTGTACTCCTCATCCAATTTCTCAACTTTTTGGCTGATGAGACTGACGGAATTGGTGATAAAATTTGAAAATTTATTTCTCAAAAACTACTTATTGTGAGTATACAATTTTTTACAGAGTTTAGTTTGATTATAATATTTTTAAAATTCATTTATATTTTCCACTTGTATCACATGTTTTGGAAATAATTCCCGAACGAGATTTCAATGAGACTGAAACATCAGAAGAATACATCCTTAATATGCATGGTCCAAATTATTCAAGTTGTCATGGATTTATTTACAGTTGATATTATTTTCAATCTACACTTTTTTTTAATTAGAAAGTTCTTGATGATAACATTTCCCACATGAAAAATTGTCCTAAATTTCGTTTTTTTTGATAAATCAGGTCTTTAAAAGTATGTTGATGTTTGTTTGTAAATGTTGGTCTTGTAAAGTTTAATTCTTTTTTTAAATATCATTACCAAAGTTTATCGGCACTTTGTAAATTTTCTAAAATGATGGACAAGAAGTGAAACGTGAAAAAATATTTGTCAATGACGTTGCGTTATGATGCATATCACAATGTTTTATATGAATATACAGCTATTTCATATTTTACTTCAAAAAAATATTAAGACAGATTGCCGAGGAAAAGAATATAGTTATTCAATAAATGAATACGGATTTCATCAGCTCGAATTTCACTTCAGCTTAGCAAACCAGCTTGTTATTCCTGTTGCAAAAGTCAGCATCATTAGATAGAATGTCATTATTCTGTAATATCCTGTATATACATGTATGCATCAAATGTATTCCCTGTTAAAATATAATGTTTATATCAAATGTATTCCCTGTTAAAATATAATGTATTCGCACCTTGGTCATACTTTATTGGATTTTTTAATACTAAAACTAATAAACAGACATGCGTATGTGCAAAGATAATAGTTTCATTGTTTAAAAGTTACAGTGAAACGTGACTGGTATGTTGTAATCGAAACAAATGAAATTAAATATTTGTTGTATAAAATGTGCTAAATAGACAAATATTCCTTTTTTGTTTTAGTTTGTATTGTGTGCATTCATCAAACAATTATATGGCCTTCGACAATGAATCAATTTAGTTAAAACAAAGAAATCATATTTCTTCCACAATTAGATAGAAACTTTAAACCATGAACCTTCAAGTGCAATGACGTAATATTACAACGAAAAAATTTCACTTTGATATTGGTAATGCATTAATGATATATATCGACAAAAACATTAGAGAAAAAAGTCAATACCATTTTCCTTAGTTGCGATTTTGTCCTGAATCTATATGACAATTAGGAAATTTAATATGATTACCAATGGAAAACTATGCATAAATGATAAAAAAAAGAAGCGAACAACTACATGTCACCGTACACCCTCAACTAATGATCACATATCTACTTTATAATAAGTTATATGAGGCGCCGGGAAAACAAATTGTGAAAAAACAAACCAAAAGATTTAAACAACGGCGTGATTTATACATGTTATAAGTACTTTAAATTTTTCTTCCTTTAGATCAATCTGTACATTTAGTATTATTTAAATATAATAAGGACATGTAGAACCAGTATGTGATAAACGTAAGATTGTTGTTCCAATCGTGGTGACATGTAATGTTTGTCTTATTTACTCATCAAGTACATCTCACATCTCCTTCAAAAAAAATTAAGTCTGCTTCTCAATTCGGATTTAAATGGTTTGCCGCATTTTGTAGTAACATACTACAAAAAAGTAAACGTAGGATTTACCTGAATTGAAATACGTTGTTGGTCGTAGGAGTGAAGTTGTATGATACGCTTCGTTGACCAGCTGCCCAGTTTTCATCTACACTATAATCAGTGCAATAGTAAGACATAGGGTTAGCAATGATTCCGCTACATCCATAATCACACTGCAAAACTCCTTCTCCATTCAGTATATCCCCATTAATAATGTTACTGTCATCACACATATGATTGCTTGAATAATCTCTACGAAATGCTAATCTGTATGATATTTCAATTTGCTAGAATATCAGAATAAAAATTATAACGCATTTTTCAGTATCATATATTATGATATTCCTATCTAAATTTACATAGGACAAGTTTAGTTATATTATACAATTTAGAGAATTCGGCCGCATTTATCATCCGACATCTGAAAAAACATAATGAACCATGGATATCAAGTACAAATTAACTGAAACAAATACAATGTTTCTTACCTGATACGGGGCCTCGGTGGCCGAGTGGTCTAAGTAGTTACTACTGTAATCACTAGCCAGTCAATACTGAGGTTGTGAGTTCGAACCCCGCTCGTGCGGGTGCACCCCACTCCAATCTTAATTGACTAGGATTGTCAGTTTTCCTATCGAAGGTCGGTGGTTTTCTCCGGGCACTCCGGCTTCCCCCACCAATAAAAACTGGCCGCCACGAAATAGCCCAAAAGCGGTGCTTAAAAATGGCGTTAACACACAAAAAATGAAATGAAATCTTACCTGATACCGTATTTAATTAACCGACACAATATACCAGTTTCATTTATTAATAAGAGTTGAATGTATGCTAATGATGGAAACACATATCTCGAGTTTATAGATTTTACTTTTTTGTCAAGTAATGATCCGGTATACCTTTCCTTCATTTACAATAAGATTTGTTAGCCTTTTCAGATGGCAATAGTGTTGAGATAAAAACAACATTATTTATACTATAGGATTAAACTTATTTAACTAGAGGTTATTGTTGTAAAGCTGGTGAGTCAGCGACAAGTTTACACATCAATAACCCCTCGAAAAAAATGTGTTTAGTGACTTTAGTCCTTATCATTCTGAACCCAAACAATTGCAATTTGTATTTAGCAGTTTTTTTTGTATATTAGCTATTCCATGTATTATTTACCTACAAATCCACAGTTGATATGTCGTAAATAAGGAGTAAGTAGCATTATTGACTTGCTATATACTTAACAAAGGAATAACATTTTCTTTCCGATTCTTTTGAACATGTTGAATGAATGTATCATTGTGTTAAATTGTGTTTAACGCGACATAATATGAAAAACGACTTAATATGAATTTGCTTTTATAATAATAATGTTTGGTAGTTCTACATTGAATTTGTCATAAGGGATATTTATTAAAGTTAAAAGTTCTATTTTGTCAGTATATTGTTAGGTTTTGGGAAACACCCAAATGATAAAATTAAATACATCTTAAGTTTTTTTTCATAAAATAGTTTCATTGCTTAGTATAATAAAAAAATGAAAAAAAAAGGTTACCTGAGTTCCCGTCTGTTTCCATGTTATAATTCCTCCCCTTAAAAATGACTGGAATGAACTTTTTGTACCAGAAAACATATTGCAAGAAAGATATGTGTTGCATTTTTAGTTAGTATTTTATTCATATTTCTATCAGACAAATATCACTTGATCGTACGAGTTGCTATGCAATGCGAATGGTAGTATGTATGCTTAGGACAATCAACTTCTGATGTCATCCAATGTTCACGTGGAACTTTAAATATTTTTCAGTTTTTAGTAGTGACCTGTAAAGATATGGTCCTGGTTTTGAATAGTAATATTTTATTGTTTTCATGTTCAAATGTTTGTTTAATTTTAATTTCATTATCAATAAATGTAAGTTGAAATTACGTTTTGTAAATGTGTATGGTCTTTCATAGAATATGTAATTGATAATGTGTTCACTTTCCACATGTCTTATTTGATCTCTGCGATCTGATTTGAAATGTACTTGTCCTGTGATTTCATATAAAGACTGTCAATTGATGAACATTTGCAGATTATTTGCATATGTACAAACGGGGATGTTTTATATTAAACGTATTCCTAAACAACATTTTACAACAATCATACATGTAATTTAAAAAAAAAAACATACTGTATAACACAACACTTATATGAATGTCTTCTCAAATCTCAAAAAGAAATATCATTTGTATTCAAAACAACTAATAACATGAATAATGTAAAAATAAATATTAGTAAGAAGTATAGTACACAGTTACACATTAAAGGAAAAATTATTATAAGGCCATCAAGAAATCAAAAAGTTGTTTATATCTTAGTAAACATCATTCTTTAGATTTGCAAAGATACTCAATAAATGAAATTCTTTATTGTCATATAATTAAACAAGATACTTGAGACAAGTAAAAATAATCACAAAAATAAACTGATATGAATACAATAATGCTATAAATCATCCATTTTTTATTTATCAAATTTGTCTTACATATTTCATTTAAAAACTGCAAGAACAGAGGAGGGACGACATTCTTGTACAACGCAAGTTTGGTTTGATATTAAATTAGTTGAATTAGATTTTAAACATTTGACTAGACGTTAAAAAAACAACAACAGCAATAAAAAGATATTGTGCTACAAGATATATTTTAAAAAGATTATAATGTGTGTAAATATCTTTTCGAATAAGGACATGGCTGATATATATATTTTTTCCAAAGTGGACTTGGGTATAGTAATCTTATCAGTATTGTCTTCTCACGACCGGCTGTAAAACCGTTGCAAAAGCTAGGCGCCTGTTCTACTGCGCTGGATGTATAAATTTGTAATCACGTCCGATAATAATTGGGATGTTAAATCTGACGCCTCGTGTTGAGAGAAGGCGTCATGCCTCTACACGCGAAAAACATTACATTAAGTTGTTGAGAGTCCTTGAGTGATAGTGGCTAGTGGACAGACTGTATTTGTTAATAATATACAGTCACACCTATACGAAGCAGTCACTCATTGGAAGAATTAAAAGTGATCCTCAAGAGAGGTGACTATTGTAAAAGATTCTAAAATTTTCGATTCCGAAATCGCCCGTGGGCGGAATCGCGTCAAAATGTGTTCAATCGGTAGAAATATCGTTTTTGGAGCAGTGAAATAGAAAATGGAGGATTCCGGCGTTATTATTTGAAAGAAAACTTTCGAAATATGTTAATATTCGACGTGAAATAAGTCGGTAATACCATTTTAAATGGAAACTGAAAGTAGTTAAATTCAAGGAATTCACGAATTTACCTCCTAAGGCACGATATTTGTTGCGAACGGGTTCAAATTCTCATTTTGACTTCAATACTGAACACATGTATTTTTTATTCTGATTATATTGGTAGTTAAAACGACGATTTCTCGCAAAATAGGTGACCGCTGACAGCATTACATAGGCGACCACTGAAATGAGTTGAATTATATCGAGAAAACGTTTGGGAGGGGCTGAAAGTCACCGTTAGACACAGGTGACAACTGAAACGAGGTGACCGTTGAGGCAGTTGTGACAATAAATTTTAGTAGCAGTCCAATTTATCCACTCTTTAACTTATGCGACCTGCCTTGAACAACCTACTTATTGTATGTATTTTTCATTTTTTCTCATCCTGAACATGAAAGACATTTTTGCCACTGGACTTAAAACAAACTGTAGGATCTGGAACATAATGTTATGGAAGGACAAGGAATGGATTTATAATACTCTTCTATAAAAACATTTAATTTTTGTGTAATCTGGAAATATTTCAAGTTGAAAATGAACATCATTTAATTCGATATTTGGTAGAAAACTCTATTTCTTCAGGTAACTTACAGCAAAAGACAAGTTTTGTTTGTTTTTTTCATTTTTGTCATGTTTTTTTTTTTATTAATTTGCCCTGAAAAAGAAAAAAAATATGCTTAAACAAATAAAATAAACTGTAACTTCAATTGAAAGAGTTGGTCCTGCTTTGTTTCATAAAAAAAATGGCTTACGTAGATACAAGTATCTTGTCTTAGGGAGGGATACATCCTACTTTGTAAAAAATCACTCTGATTCAAACGGAAAATATTTTCTGAAACTGACATTATAAGATGCGTGATTTCTTGATTGACAACAGATTTGTTACGTTTGGAGGACGTGTTTTTCGACAAACAATCGGCATTCCCATGGGAACAAACTGTGTCCCTTTTGTTGAGTTGTTCCTATATTCATATGAGACTGATTTATACAGGAACTTTTTTGGAAGAAAGAAAAGAAGTTAGTAGTATCCTTTAACTTTATTTTCTGCTATATACTGTGGATTCATTATTATTCGTTGGATACCAATTTTCGTGGATTTCGTTAGTACAGGTGAACCACGAAATTAAATGTTCAACGAATGACAAATTTTCTATAGACTTGTATGCAGGCTTCGGCAAATCCATGAAATTAAATATCCACGAATATGCAAGTTTTCCTTAATCCACGAAAATTGATACCCACAAAAATAAATGAATCCACAGTAGATGATGTTCTCTCACTAACTAATTCAAAACTTGGTGACTATGTTGAAAACATCTATCCCATCGAACTTGAGATAAAAGATACAACAGATACAGTAAAGTCTGCCTCATATCTTGACTTGCATCTAGAAATTGACAATGAGGGTCGGTTGAAAACAAAACTTTATGAGAAAAGAGATGATTTCAGCTTCTCAATTGTGAACTTTTCATTTCTATGTAGCAACATTCCAGCAGCTCCAGCATACGAATTATATATATATCTCATTTGATACAATATTCCAGGGCTTGTATTTTCTATCATGATTTCCTTGATAGAGGGTTGCTGCTCACAAGGAAGCTATTACACCAAGAGTTCCAAGTGGTGAAGTTAAAATCGTCCCTTCGTAAGTTTAACGGACGCCATCACGAGTTGGTTGACCGTTATGGAATATCCGTTTCACAGATGATAGCGGATATGTTCCTAATGTCGTAAATACAATCCCGTCCCCTTTTATCGAATGTGACCTACCGAATTAGACTTATCACCGGGTTTGATCTAACATGAGCAACACGACGGACACCACATGTGGAGCAGGATCTGCTTACCCTTCCGGAGCATTTGAGATCACTCCTAGTTTTTGGTTGGGTACGTGTTGCTCTGTCTTTAGTTTTCAATGTTGTGTTTTGTGTACTATTGTTTGTCTATTTTTTTTTTTAAGCCATGGGGTTGTCAGTTATTTTCGACTTATGAGTTTGAATGTCCCTCATGTATCTTTCGCCTCTCTTTTATTGGTAATGTGTGTTTTTTTTCTTTATGATAGCCATGGAACCATTTCATACATAAGCTAAAACAATTTACATTTCATCATTAAATTTTACGATAACATTAACGCTACCAATTGAAGTGCGCTAGTCGCGCATTTCCATAATCAATGTCTTTTGAGTAATGTTCGAGGCAAAATATTTATATTTCCAAAACTTGATACAAACACTTAAGAGCCGATACCACCGAATAGAACCAAAAGTATAGCTAGCAGTGGACAAGGAATCATGAAAATCTTTAAATAGTACATTTTAATTACGCATATGTTAATGCAAGTACCGAAATACTTAGCCCCTAAGCTGGTTTCAACAGAGAGGACTAACAGACGGCCAGCAGATACATCTTCCTAGTGATAAAAATGATATTAACGGTACCAATTTAAACTGAACCTGATGCGCATTTAGAGAATTAATTATCATTAGTAATACAAACTTCTCAGTTTTCTAGTATACACAGAAACATATCCCATCTTATATTTGCACATAGTTTACTGCTCCCTACATGTATAACATTAATCACAAGATTTCAAAACATTCCACTTTTAAACATATTGTAAACCAACCAACCAAGTTGTCTTTGTTTTGTTTTTTGTTTTTGTTGTCTAACATGTTTACTACTTTGTCATACCGTGGTCTGTTATATTATGTGTGTGTGCTCATGGTATGACCATACGGTGACCTGTAACTGTTTATATCTTTGCTATTGGTCTTTATGGATAGTTGTGTATTGAAAATCAAACCACATGATCCATTTTGTATTTGCATCCAAAATATGTCATCATCGCAGTGTAAGCAAATACTGTAGATCAAAATTATCTGCATGTTCCGAGTTGAAGAAAGAAATTGTATGAGTATTATTACATTATCTTCACTTCTGCCTACAATAAAATTGTTTCATTCTGAAAAAAAGCAATGCCACTAAACAAACTATTTTTTTCTGAAATCTTAATATACTCAATTTGTGTCTATGAAATATATTAATCAAAAGAGCTTACGTGGTTCTGACAAAGAATTGCAGGAAAAATAGCATAATGATATATTAGTAATGAAATGTTCAAATACTTTGATACAAAAAAACGATAAATATTAAAAACAACAACAACAAAATTGTTCAGCTTTATTCTGTATAATTATTTATGAATATGAAATTCACTATCTTAAAACCTTTATTTGTAATCATCCAAGGCCTGTTTGTACTTCTTGTCATCCTGCATTTTTGTTAGGTATTTGTCCTCGATTTTACGTTCTGTGCCATGTTGTTATTGACAGCGAATTTGATGCAATTTGTAGAGTTATTTGTCTCACTTAATTTTGCTGTCATGCCTTATTCTGACATAATTCAGTTGTATTACAACTCTCATACAGTGTATACTACATTGTTCATGAATTATCCTCAA